GGGCCGGCACCCGGCAGCTGCGTTTCCTGCGACTAACGCCCGCTGGTGTCTGTCTCCGGCAGTGCTGCATCTGGTCCTGTTCTATGAGAACCGGCTGCAAGACCATCACCTTGTGATCCCCTCGGTGCTCCAGGGACTCCGAGCGCTGGTGAGCGCACACCCCACAGTGCTGGGATGTGCTCTGGAGTGATGCTCCGGGGAGCTGCAAGGCCTGGGGATGTCCTGAGCAGGGCTCAGCTGGGTTGTCGGCTCCTGCCTGGCAGCATTGCCCTGTCTCCTCCACACTCCTGCTGTGCCCCTTGCAGAGGAGACTGCCTTGATCTCCTGTCCGATGCTGGTATTGGGGCAAGGATTCCCTGGCCGCTCTGAGGAGCAGCACAGATGAGAGGCATCTTGTCCTGTCCTGTGGGGGGGGTGGTGAGCTCTCCCTGGTGTATAAGACACTCCTGCAGGTGCCTGCTGCACAGAAGCAGGTCTGTTATACTCCTGCTATCCTGGTTTTCTATTCTCACTTCTCTTTTCCCATCCCCAGAGCATGTGTGAGGTCCTGTCCCCAGGGCTAGCGGTGTCTGTGCTCAAAGCCATCTTCCAGGAGGTACATGTCCAGGTGAGCAATGCGATTTCCCCGTCCTCCTGTCCCTACTGCCTGGGTGTCTGAGGACTGAGAACATTCAGTGGCAGAGCAGTGTTGTGTGTCCCTCAGTGCAGGGCAGTGCTCCTGTGGAGCTTGGAGGCAGCGTGTCTCGCTGCAGAGTGAGAGGCAGACAGCAGCTGAGGATCCCGTTTGGCCCTTGTCCTCTCTTTTCGCAGGCCTGAGGGTGTTATTTCCTTTGCCTTGTTCACCAGCTTGTGTTTAAGTGCCCTCAGCACCCAAATTCTCCTCCAGTTTAAGACTGCTTACACTTGCAGGGCCTTGGGCAGTATGTGTGGCTCTGGTGTGACTGTGATGATGCATTCCAGTGGTGACGGACAGTCACGCTCAGGTGCCGTTGCATAGGTGTGTGCACATTTTGCATGTGGAGAATGGAATCCATGCCAGGAAACAGCAGCTGAGCTGCCGGGGGTCCTGCCCTCTTCTCAAGGGCACATGCTGCTCTTAGGTGTTGTGTACCAATGCTGCCATGTGTGGAAGCTGGTTTTCATTGCTCTGCTCCTCCCTCCAGTCCCTGCTGCAGCTGGACCGCCACACAGTCTACAGCATCATCACCAACTTCATGGGCACCAGGGAGGAAGGTGAGGGGACAGCTGCCAGAGCTGCTCTGGGTTTGTCCAGGCTGGGGCAGTGGCTCAGTTCCACACTTCCACAGGCTCTGTTGACCTGTCTGGGAGGATTGTGGAAACCAGGCTGATTTCGTGCCACGTTGGTAAGGTCTCATGTCCTTATTCCTGCAGAGCTGAAGGGCCTGGGTGCCGACTTCACCTTTGGCTTCATCCAGGTGATGGACGGGGAGAAGGATCCCCGCAACCTGCTGGTAGCCTTCCAGATCGTGCGTGATCTCATTGCCAAGAACTACACCCTGGGTGAGCCCATGCCGGCCATGCAGAGCTGACTAGAAGACAACACTGCTTTGAGCTGTTGGAGGGATGGCCCTTGGTTCTGACCAGGGCTGGGGTTCTCCCTGACAAGCTTTAGGAGCTGCAGAGCCAGCCTGTCATGGGTGCTAGGCATAGCTGCTGTGCCTCTTTTCGGGCTCAGCATCTCTGCTCACATATTCTGTCCTTGCCTTGCAGGTCCCTTTGTGGAGGAGCTGTTTGAAGTGACATCCTGCTACTTCCCCATCGATTTTACTCCAGTGAGTGAGTCTTTCCTGGGCCACAACCTATTTCTTCTGGCGTTCTCCAGAGTGTCGTGTCTCCTCCAGGGGATGGGATGGGAGGATGGGCAAGAGTCTTGGCTGGGCAGTGTTTAGCTGTGAGCTGTGGTACCCAGGCTGACAGGCTGGTGCTGAGCTGGCTGCAGTGACTGGCATCACTGCTGCTGAGCTGGAGAGGAGGTGATGCAGCCTTGGCTGCTGGCTGGGTTGCAAGGTTTCCCAGACAGTGACCTACTCTTTCTGCTTCTCTTCCAGCCTCCCAATGACCCTCACGGCATCCAGAGAGAAGACCTGATCCTCAGCCTCCGGGCCGTACTAGCCTCCACGACCCAATTTGCTGAGGTAGGAAGCTCCTAGGGGGTTCTTGAGCACCCCGCAGTCTCCTGGGGCTTGGCATGGGGACAGTGCTGGTGCTGACACCCTGGGAAGGGGCTGCTTGTTGCAGGTGTCCCTTCACTTCTGCTCTCCTGGTAGAGGCTGAGCTTGCAGTCCTGCAGGGCCATGGAGAAGGTGGTGCAAAGAGTAGGCTGAGTCTAAGTGCCTCTCTCTACAGTTCCTGCTCCCTCTGCTCATTGAGAAGATGGACTCAGACCTGCAAAGTGCCAAGCTTGACTCCCTGCAGACTCTGGTAAGGAGGGATCCCCTAGTGCCTTCAGCCCACAGCTGGTCTGTGGCAGCAGCAGCCAGACACATCTGAGCCCTTCCCCCTGCCAGCCAGAGACTCTCCCTTGCAGAGCCACGATTTCAGTGGTCCTAGTTTGGCCTGGATTGCTCTTTCCTCTTTTCTTCTCCCTTGAGCAGTTTGTGCAGTTCAGTGAGAGCCTGGCGGGATCGGCAGTGTCCTTGCTCTGTGTCCTCCCAGTACTGGCTTCTCTCTGATGCTTTCTCCTGGCTCCCTCTTGCAGACTGCCTGCTGTGCCATCTATGGGCAGAAGGAACTGCAGGAATTCCTCCCCAGCCTCTGGTCATCCCTGCGCAGGGAGGTGAGTACCATAGGGCCCAAAAACATGCTCCACTGCCGTTGGGCTCCTCCTGAGGAGGAGTTCACAGCTGGACCATGTGGGCCCCATATCTCCCATTAGCACCTACCTTGGACAGCCCCAGCCAGAAAGGGTTGGGGGCACGGGTAGGCCAGCCCTCTTAGTGTGTTCCTGGGGCTCGGATGTGCCACGCTGCATGCTCGAAGCACGTGGGAAGTGAGGTGGGAGCCTGAGCCCTTCAGCCTGCCCTGGGAGCGTGAAGCCTGCGGCTGGGGTCAGCACGGAGCTTAGCTCATCCTACGGCTTCTCCTGCAGGTGTTCCAGACAGCGAGTGAGAAGGTCGAGGCAGAGTGCCTGGCTGCACTGCACGCCCTCTCTGCCTGCCTCTCCCGTTCCGTGCTCAGCTCTGACACCGAGGATCTGCTAGACTCCTTCCTCAGCAGCATCCTGCAAGGTAGCCAGCAGAGACCTACCCTGTGCTGAGCCTGCAAGCACGTTCCTGGCCAGGGATCTGCCCCGTTCTGTTTGAAGACTCCTCTTTCTAGCTCTGTTGGCTTCTCCAAGGGAACTGGCTGCAGGAAGGGAGGAGAAGGGGGCACAGTAGAGAATGCCCGTCAGATTGAGTTGCTTTCCTCCCTGCTGGGACTGAGGTGTCCAAGGCTGAGCCGTGTGCTTGGAGCTGGGGGAGGCAGCTCCGTGAGGGCGGCC